CTGCCAAGTCACTGGAGTTCAATAGGATGGGATTTGTTTTTTTAATTTTTTTTTTCTTTTTTAGAACAGTAAATGTCTGTACTTTAATGGCATAGAAAAATGCTTTGTTTTCACTGTTGTAGAAAAAAACTAGGGAGAATTTATTTTTCAATAAACTTTTTTCTTGTGTGATTTGGATTTATGATTGCTTTGTGCTTAAATGGGAACTCCATGAACTGCCTTTTATCCCAAATGGCATTTGTGTGGCTTCTCTTCCAACTCTGCAGCTGGGCATTTCTGTTGCTGCTGGAAAAAGGGATGAAGCCTGAAGCTTTGGCCCACACACCTGCGTTGCTTCAGCATCACTCCCGGGCTCAGGTGAGGTTCCAGCAGCTGGTGAGGAGAATGCAGGAGAATGTGCAGGAGAAAAAAGAATAGTAAAAAACCCAAGTGCCCAACCAAAAAACCCCAAATGAAGACCAGCTCTTCATCTGTTTAGATGTCCATTTGTAGCATAGTTGCTATAGACTTTAAAAGAAAAAATACACTGGAGAGAAGCAACTGCTCACTTTTTTTCCAGCATTACCTTAGGTTCTAAGTTTGTTCTATGCTTTGGTTTTGGTGGTGTTTTTTTGTTTGTTTGTTTGTTTGTTGTTGTTGTTGTTTTGGAGGGTTTTTTTTGTTTTGTTTTTTTTTTTATGTGGCCACACATAGCTGAATAATGCAGAATCAGAAGTACAGAAGTCAGTAAGTATCAGCTTGAGATCCTCTGTATTGTCCCTGTCCAATTAATGACACACACTGGTAAGCAATAGCATAAATAAAAATGTCAAATTGAAATGCCTGCAGGTTGGGAGAGGGTTTGTGACTTGGGTTTGGATATCCAGTTCTCCAGTGTATTCACTGGCCATAGTAAGGGAGTTCAGTGCATTGTGGCTACAGATGGTGGTTTTCTGCTGTGTGGTGCTGCTGCAAGAGCCTTTTATGGCTGTTTCAGTGAGGTGAAGTATGTGAATATCCTTCACCAGCCGCCCCTTTTTATGGATATTTTCTTGGCGTACTTCACCTTGGATGAAAACAGGAGAAAATGTTGTTGTTCCTGTGTTGCTATTCAACATACCACAATTCCCAAATGTTTCCTACCATGAAAATGAATTAGTGGAGGACACTGCTCATTCAGTCTCTTGTTCTGGTTATTTTTGGAAATGTTTTCCTTCCTGTTTCATTCCCCTAATTATTGTTCAGCTTTGACATTCTAAAGAGACATCTGTAAAATGGTGAGCAGCTAGAGTCAGATGTGGGCTCTGTTGCAGTCACATAACGGAAAAAAAAAAAATCCATGAAAATTGGAATTTGGAATAAAAAATACATACGCCATGCAGCTGTACTGGAAAAATCATTGAGGGGAGCTTAAATACTGAACACTTCAACTCTCACACACTTAGACTGGGTTTAGTCAAACTCCAGCTGGTGGAGAGTCCACAGATGGAAACGTTTTGCTGGGACTCTGTGCTGCTCTCAACACACTTCCCCTCAGTGTGCAAGTGCTGGAGAGCTGCAGCACCCACTTTGCTGCCTCACACTCCTCTCTATTTGTGTTTACGCTCAGGACTTGCACACTGTATTTCACTGATCATGGGCGTTGCATTTATTTAAAATCCAGGTAATGATCTTTGTTGCCATAAACCCATCTGGATACTGTTTGCACCAAACAAACAGACTCCAGCTGTTCAGTCTCACTGTGTGTCCTGCTCTGTGGGGCCTTGGCTCAGGGGTCTTTGCTCCATCAGTGCCTCAGAGAAGCATTGCCTGGCTAAAGGCATCATCTGCCTCCTGCACCTCTGTGAGGAGGGAAACTTCCAAGCAAACCAGTGCTGGGGAAAACTGCTGAGGCAGTAATAACAACCTCTAAAGAAAACAAACTGGGGTGTAAGCTTTGGTGGCTCAGCAGGTAACAGCTGGTGCTTGCCATGTAAGTAATGGGCACAGCAGATCTTGACAGAGAAGCTGCCAAATCACTGGAGACCTCCCTTGGCTTTCATTTCCTCCCCACTTCCCTAGGAGTCTGGAATTTATGGGATCAGCCCAAGGCTGTGCTGCAGGCATGGATTTTGTTTCACTGGAGGTTGGCGTTGCTGATCAATTGGCCATTTAAAATAGGTGTTGCCTTTATTCCACTCCTTGCTCTGTGGTGAGGTGACAGGTGGCAATAATCCTCTCTGACAGGTCCAGAAGGGTTCTGGGTTTGGTGACAGCAGTGTTAGCTGACAAAATGGGGTGTGTCCTCATTACTCGCCAAACTAGCTTAGACCAAAATGCCCTTTCAGCCCCCCTGCTGCTGAATGTTGGTGCTGGTGTCAGTCCTGGTGGGACCTGCATGCTGAGCTCCTCCTCCTCTGCTCCCACAGCTCGAGGTGAGTGGGCTGGAGGCTGCTGGAGCAGCCGTGTTTGCCACAGTGGGCAGCCGGTCCCACTGAGCAGGGGAAATTCAGCAACCGTTCGGTGCTGCCTCCAATCCTGATCCTGTGGCTGCAGGGAAAACAGCAGCTCCCAAACGTGGGGGGAACAGGGGAGGGAAATATCCCTGGCTTGTCTCTGACTCGCTTTAACTGTGCTCTCCCACGCTGTGTAACCTGGCCCCACGTGCCAGGCCACAGGGATGTGTTTTTGTGGTGCTGGTCCTGGCCAAGCACAGCCAGAGGGGCAGCGATGGGCTCTGTCACAGCACCCCCCAGCACGGACCGGGAATGGTGAGAAATGGCAGGTGCTGCGAGCACAGCAAAACACCTCCCTGTGTGCAAACCCCAGGTGAGTCATCTACACGAGCCTGTGCACCCCCCCAGGATAAATCTGGTCGAGTAACTTCAGCACTTCTTTAGCTCTTTGCCCGGGAAAAATGCATTGTAAGGTTGGGAACAAACATTCCTGCTTATATGTATTATTGAGGCTTAAGAGATGGACTGGTTGGCCTTGGGATGGATGAGCTTTAAAGGTCCCTTACAACCCAAACTATTCTATTAATCCTTGTCCAGTGACCCGGGTGTCCCATGAGCTGACCTACAAAAAAGAATGGCAGAAATGTCTACACTTTTCCCCAGGCAGCTGAGATTGCAGGAACACAAACTGTGTTATTAATGGTGAGCACCTCTGTGGTACAGTCCCAGGTGCAGGTGTACCTAGAGCTGTATTTGCCCATTTTTGAGAAGCTTCTTGTCTGGGGTCTTTGCTTCAGGTCCATTCCTGGATTGTCATCTTCAGCAAGGAGCTTCTTTTGAGGCTCTGTTTTTCCACAATGGTTTGGTGATGCTTATTTATGGTCTCCCTATTATTGCTGGAAGTGAAAAGGCATAAATCAGCAGCAGATGTTAGTGTGGTGATTTTTTTAATTACAATTAGGGTGCAGAAAAATCTGGATTTTAGCTCTAAGTAGAGCATTATCATTTCCCCGTGCCTACCTGGGGCATGCAGGTCATGGCCTGGGATTCCAGATCGCAGCTGGTGTAATCCTGACAGAGTTTTTGACAGCTCTGCTGAACAACATGGCCAAATTCAAAGCATCTGCTCAGTGTCACAGTGACTTTCAGGGATTAATTTGCAATTCTGGGCTTGGCCAGACTTTAATAAGTGTCAATTTGCAGCTGCTGATCCTTGTGTGAATGCTGAGGCTTCTTCCCTGTGTCCTGTGCACAACAAAGAGGCCGTGGCACTGCTGAGGAGCTGCTGTGATCACCAGCCAGGTTATTATGTTGACCAGTGCCAAGTTTCAGGTAATTAGTCCGAGTGCTTTTGAGCTGTTTCAGCTTTTGAAAAGTCCAGTTTCACTTAGCCTAGCTGGAAGCACACTTGTTACCTCATGGTTGGAAAAATCAACTGGCACAGACATTTAATAAAGGAAACTCATACAGAAGCTGGTACCTCTGAGGGTGGCTGGTTAGAGCAGTGTCACAGTAGATGGATGAGCAGTTATTTTCTCTGCTATTGTCACATTCCATACAAAGTCTCCACAATGAGAGCTGGCTTTATCAGCATGTGTTTGCTTTAGTTTCTGAGAATCTCTATTTCCTGGCCCTTTTCAAGTATCACAAGTATTTCAGTTATTTTCTTGTATTTACCTGCTAATATCAGAAATACTTTGAAGCAGCTGTGGCAACCCAAGAGCTTCTGCAATTGGTTTAAATTAATCTGATAAGAAAAAGTATGATTAACTTGTTTAACCACACCTTTTCAAAGTCTACACAGCTGGAGTCTGCCCTTACAAACATCCTCAGAGCATTCCAGAGTTCCAGAAGGAAGTGTGAAACTTCATTTACCCTGTGTTCAGCTTTCCTTCATGCACGAGCACATCTGTGGAGCTCTGTGCTCCTGTTTACACTCAGCATTTCAGCAGAATTATTCAGTGTTTGACCTGGGTGTTGGTTTGAGTGTCCTACATACTTTCAGTGGTTCAGAACTTTGGTGTGGCAAAGGTCTTATCAGGAGCTCAGTATCTTGCCACAACCACACAATCTCCTGCTCACTGGCCTGAAATACAATGGGAAAATATCAGAACTAACGTAAGTATAGCAAGTTAGGGTCTGGTGCAGGAAGAAAGGGTCTTGGGGTGGCATTTGATATTTAAAAGTCCATCTGTGATGAAGACAGTGGGCACTCCTACACTTTCCAGTCCTCCTGGAGTCCTTGCTAAATACTCTTCCTACACATATCATTTGGAGTTGGCTTTTCTTAGAGATCCTTAGGGATCTGCCTAAATGACATATAATGGGAAATACAGTTTTAGCATCACACCAGTGAAAAAACTCAGTGTCTCCACTGTACATCAATCACTGATTGTGCTTCTACTCCAATTTCTGTAGTCTATTGTTGAGTAGTAGAAATGGGCATTTCTACTTACCGTGGTCTTATTTCAAAATCTACAGTGGACTATCTATTTTTTATTCATCTGTGATAAACAGAAGCAACAATACTGGTTCTCTGGTGTGAAAACCAACCTGGAATATATAGAATAATGAGAAAATGGCTACAGCCAGAGAATCCAGTTTAATAGGCTGCTATACAGGAAGACTTTGTTCTATGATACATTCTGGAAATAGTTTTCAAATGTTACTTACAGATACTGTATAAAATAGATACCAGTTTTTTATTGATTATACATCCAGATTCTTTGATCATTTAACCTGCTATCAAGTAATATATAAGATGTGTGATGAAAAGTGAGCAACACTTTACAGGACAATCTAAATCTAATAAATAGATCTGTATCTCACCACAAGATTGAGCCACTGCTGTGCCGTCGTCGGACTACAGAGCAACCACAACGTTACACACGCTGGTACAGCTGCATATGGTACAACAGGAGATGAAAAATCCCATTCCTTGAGCAGCTCCTCTTCCCTGCATGACTTTTTGGCTTTGGTCTGTACAGTAATACTGTGTGTGCTTGTTTGGTCCATGCAAAGCTATGAACAGTGTCTTGTTAAGGAAAAAAAATTGAGTTTAAATTGAAGAGGTACAGTTTCGGTTAATTTGGAATTAAAACACAGTTTTCTCTCTGGTCACAGAAAGGGCTGTGCCTGCTCTTTCTGGGTGTCTATTTCAAGAGGAGGGGGGGGAAATATCTACTTAAGTGTTTTAAGCAACACAGCTCTTGGTGTCCAGACTCTGTGTGAGATAGTCTCAGTCGAAGAGGTTAGCAAGGATTGTACTCCTGTTCCAGCACGTGTCTGGGAAAATACAGGCCATGGGGGAAAATAAAACCAAACCCCAAATCTGAAACTGGCACTTCTTTACCCACAGGCTTACCACATCATTAAGAACACTTTCACTCTGGAATATACAACATGGCAGCTGGGTTCAAACTGCAAACTGCATGTTTTCTATTGTCACAGGAATCAATAGCATACTGGAAATAAAAAGACGCTGCTGTTTGGCAGAATTTGCAAGCGGTGTGCACATATGCCAGATTTACAGAGAGATTTCCCATTAAAACAAACTTCAACAAAAACAGACCACGGGAAACAAACTGCATATTCAGTAAAATACCATTGGCACCACTTGCCAAAACACAGGACGCTGTAGTTTTACAGTCCTTACAGAGGAGAGGGCGGCACCTTCACTCGAACATCTCGTAGTGGCGCGTTTGCCTCACCCGGGGCACCATGTCGATGAGCAGCCTGCAGGGGAGACACAGTGTTGGTGCAGAGACACAGCAGAGCCCTGGGACTGGAGTATTCTCTTCACTTATTCATTTACTTTAGGAATAAAGAGGGGCTCTGATGCAGTAACAGCCTCTACAGTTTTCCGGAACAGTTGGTTTTACACTGGAAATGGTGATTACAGTGACGTATTCAAGAGTGGTGTTCCCCATTAAAATGTTAATTTAATTTTCCAAGTTTGAAAAACCCCACACAGCTTCCAGCTGAGAGCTGAGAACTGGCTGCAGCCTGGCCAAGGTCTGCTTCCTGCTCAGATGCTCCATCTCCCCCTTTCTCTTAAAGGCAGAAAAAGGGGATAAAGCACAAAACTCATGTTCGATTCCACGCAGTCAAGAGAAGTTGTGGCAGCAATGAAGCACATGGCAGAGCTTCATTTGATTTTTTATTTTGTTTCTGGTGTCATGAATCAAGAAAACATCTTAAAATTCAAGAGAAACAACATTTCCAACACAACCAGCAACCTTCAGTTTGCAAGTTGCGTAAGGTAGGGGGCTAGGACATAAATCAATAGCAAGATCATTCTTTAAACTTGGGCACCTTTCCTTTAATCCAGACTGTCTTTGGAAAAGCAGCGCTTAGAAATGTGCCATAACAGCAGTGGGGACCGATTTTATCCAAGATTTGTGGTTATATTTCAAATATTTAAAAGCTTGCTTTTCCAATTCAGGTATCCAAAAGTCTTCTAAAGTTATTCCAGTTTCCTTTAAAGTCCTGGCTGCTTTCCAGCTGATGTGAGAACAGAGTCTTTCTTTTATAACCGTTTCCACACACTCTGCTTCAGCACTGGCAGCTCATCTAATAAATTCCAGGGACTGATTTCACTGGAGTTATATAAAGCCTTTCAGAGCTACGGCTACCTCCCACAGCCAGCCCATCTGCTGCTCACACTGCACTACCTGCTCCCAGGAGATACTCACTTGATTCCATAGGCAGATATTGTAAGTCCAATTAACACTCCTATACTGCCATCCAGGTACCAGACAGAAGAATTGTGTTTAAACACTTCTGCACTAAGAAGGATGGAAAATCCCATTATTCCACCTACAAGAGAGTTGAAACCTGGAAGGGAAAAAAAAAAAATTAATTAAAGGAAGAACCCAGAGAGCTTATGAAAAGGAAAATGGTTTTTCAAGTAACTTTTCAAAGACCTTCTCTTTAAGCTTTTTACCCCCATTGCATATATTTATTTGTGTGTTTGGCACAGTAGCTTAGAGCTGAACACATTGCTGAAGACATACAGGATAATCCTAGTAACATTTTACATTTATGCTTGAGACATATGACAGCAGCTTATCTATTATTTACAATTTTTATGAACATCCTTTTAGATTCCGCTTTCTTTTATTAATCCTTTCTCTTTGTCTCCAAGACTGTCCTTTATAAATTCTCCCAGAGCTTTTGAAATAATTAATGCCTTTTTTCATTCAAGTCCTGCTTGGTTGGTTATTGATTTGGGCTTTTTATGAGTCATTCCTTGTGTTCTTTTATTTTTCAACCCCAAACTCCCTTTTTCTAATATTTTTTTCCCCCTCAGTAATCCAGAAGACATCACTGTTGTCTACAAAAAAAATGTCACTGATAATGCATTTATTTGGTAGAGCCATATACTATTTAACCTAGTTAACAAGTGAAAAATCAAACTTGAAATGTTCTATACTGCTTGGTGAGTCAGCTCCAGTCAGCTGCTGCTTACAGCACTTGCCTTGTGTTTTTTTTTTCCAATTTCCCATGACTGCCAACAAGGACATCTATGACACTTGGTCCTGAGTGTCTCCTTTGAGACCTCTCACCTCCAGTCCTTGCCTATTTATTAACTTATACTGCTAATGCAGGTTGGTGAAATATATATATATAAAGAATATTAAATATAAATGAATTAATTAGAAATTTAAACTGGTGTTACCTCCCCTGCTCCAGTTTTAAGTCAGAATCCATCAGCACGATGTGCAAAAGAGTAATACATTTTCTTGCCATTATTGGCTAATGGTTCCAAATTATAAAAAAGCTACTTGCAAAGGAAATTATTCTCTTTTCCTGACTGTCATTCAGTCAAACTTTTCTTTGCTGGCGTGGCAGGAAATCATGTAATGACTGGAGGAATCAATGCAGACACTGCTCTGTGCACAAGGCCAGCACAGGAAAAAACAGGTGGCTAAATCTGGGTAGGAAACAGGTATCTAAAACCTACAGGAAAGCTGGCTGACATCACCCAGCTGTCATGTAACTGCAGTTGCCCTCTGAAATGCTACAAAATTCAAGGCAGGAAATGGCTGTTTTTATTACCCAAGAGGCCATAATCTTTTGCTATAAACAAATTGTACAAATAACCTTTTGCCTCATTACATCTAGGCTTGAAAGAGGTACTGTTGTCAAGCCCTGCTCTAAAATAAAATTATCCTGAAAAAAAATTTTTAATAGAGGTTGACATATATGACAGAGAATTTGCTGTTCTGAAAATAAACCTATTTTTCAGGAAGAAAAAATTGTTACTCAAAACAGTTTGTTGGTCCAGAGCCAGGGATCACAGGAGGTAAATTAGCAGGAAACAGAAAACACTAAAAAAAGATATGCAAGGGAGTGCTAAATCTGTCTCAGCTGCTGAATCACATTGTCTCTTCCTGATTGTTAATAAATCAAATATATATGTAAATACGTCTTGTGAAGGAAGATATTGAACTGCACAAGGGAAGATCAGCCTCCTACATTTTCTAAAGTAGTCCTGAAGGAGAGAAGAGAGATAAAAACCAGACTGAGGTAATTGTACACTTTTTCCCCTAATTTTTTTAATCAAAGAATAAGCAATCTCCAGCTCACAAGCAATATAATTAGCATGAGGATGTAATTATGGGGGAAGCCATTTCGGTGTCATGCAGGAGAACAATTCAGAGCTGGAGTTATTTAGGAATATCCGGCTAATATTTTGTCTGAATAAACTGTTTTGTTTCAAAACTAACCTACATTCCTTTCTAAAGGGAGGGTTAATACTCTGTCTGCCTTAGACACAGTTCTGGAACGGTCACCGTGTCCCACTTCCACTCTGCCAGGGAGGGAAATCAGACTCACTGGGCCATGGTTCCCAGGATCCTTTCCAGAAACCTTTTTGCTGGTTGGAGATATTTTTGTTTCAAAATGTCTAAGGTGGCAGAGTCCATGGGAAAGAATAAGAGCTCTGAACTGCAGGTCTGCTGGGAGAGAATCCCAAATGCAGGGAGGCAGCAGCTCCAGTTGTAACCCCCACACTGCTGTTCTGGTTCCTTTTTTGGTTCTTTTTTATTTAAAATATAAATGTTCATGAAGAATTTATATAAGTAGGATGATATAAATACTCATAATACGTTTTATCACACATCACCAAGGAAAAAATAAAGCATTTTTAATATACTTGAAATTAAGCAACTGTATGTATCCCCAGAGTAGGCTGAAAATTGAATTTTCTTAAAGTGAAATCTTTAGCAGAGTAAAGTAATTCATGTACAATTATGTATGAATCATTAACACCCTGCCATGTCTGTTTACAGAGTATTTCAAACTGCCCTGTGCTGGTAGATACAAACTGGGAGAGATTCACAAGGTGTTGTGAAACCTCTGCCATCACTGTGGCCTCGCTCGTTTGCAGGGCAGATCCCTGGGGCTCTCCCAGGATTCACAAACTTGAGCCCTGCCAGGAAGAGATACATCTGGACCAAGCTTTAAAACATACCTTTAAACATCATACTTTTAAAACCAGAAAGAGTCAGGTGCTACAGGTCTATAAATGCAGCAGGATCAACGTCACACTCACCGTCGGTTATCAGTGCTCTGCTTGTAAGGACCTTTCCCAGCATAAATTTGATTACTGCCAAGACAGTGCAAAGGATTCCACTTAAAACAGACACACTATACAGAAAATCATCCTGGAAAAGACAAGAAAAAAAAAATTTCATACATTAGTGTGTTTTCTGGTCATGCTCCATATATATTAAATGATAAATAGAACTAGTTACTGTGCAATTAGTTGTGCCACTGAAGTATACAACCTGAGAAAAAAATTCCTGAGTTATGACTTCCATGACAGATGGTGCTTATTTTGCTTATACTGCCAACTGCAATTCCTTTTGCAGCCATAATTAATGACAGTTCCAACCAGCAAGTTTTGAATTGACCCAAACTCCTCAGAATAGGGAGGTTATATACCTGAGGGGCTGAACACAGACTGACTGTAAGTCATCTAATGCCTACTGCAGGTCCCACAGGCAGGAGGAAGGCTTGAGAATAGAATCCCACTTACCAGGCCTTGGTTGATTCTTGGTGTGAGAAACAACCACTTAATATTTTTTTCTGATTCTGCATTTGCTTTGGTTTTGTTTGGTTTCCTTCTTCTAAAGTCTGGTCTGAGCTACATCCAGAAAACTTTTGATACTGATGTGCAAAGTAAGGCTTAGCTCTGTCTTAGAAAACAACATTTCCATGGACTTTCATTTCACATAATTATCCACATTGCTTAATCTGCATGTGCAACAAGGGCTCCCCAGGCTCCCTTAAGAGACACCTGCATGTCTATGTAGGGCAAAGAAGGATAACTAATTATTGTTTAACACACATTCTCTACAAGGTTGTCTGGAGGCACCTACCCCCTCCTGAGAACTCTTTTGTGTGTGGTTGGGTGGAGAGAAGCTCTCCTGAGTGCTGACACACTGCAAAAAGGTGCCTAAAGTTGCCCCTGAGGTACAAGAGCCCCCAGGCTGCAGGAAAACCCAGGTGAGCTCTCAGCCTGCCTGCCATCAAACCACACAGCTTTGAAACACAGTCATTTATTACTCTTAATAGAAGCTTTCATTTAAGCTGTTGCAACACCAGTACAAATAAAAGAAACTGCAAGAATATATTTCTTTTGCATCTGCAGGTCTAAGTGGGCCAGTGCCACTGGGACCCTGTTCCTGATTAAAACACTCTGACAAAAGTCCCCGCTGATAGCAAATATTGTCGTGATGATTCACCATCAGCTCCATCCATTTTCGTTATTTTAGCAGCAATTCAAAACCCAAAGAGATCAAAGAAATGGTTTTGAAAGCTGCTTAGGAAGATACTGGAAATTAGATTACTGGTATAATGTACTCACATCCCTAAATAAATCATTCAATATATTTTTATACAATTTTGTATGTCATATAATTTTGAAAGTCTACTTCACTCACTCTCAATCATGAGCTCATTCTCTCTGGAGCTGGTACAATACTGAGTATTAAAGGAAAATGCATTGAGGGAAAGAGAGTGAAATAGGAACTGTGAGAACACTAAACTCAAGCCCTGGGTAAAGTTAGGATGAAAAGCATTTATAAAATTATTTTAACGGAACAAATGGAAAATACCCAGGCAATTTCAGAGTGCTAGGGGAAAATTAAGGAAGGACTGAGAGTATTTGCTTGCTGTCAGCCTAGCAAGGAAAGTTGGGAGCTTTCAGAAGGTCTGAAATGACAACAAAGCAAAGATTCAAAAGTCTGGACAAACTTTGCCAAAAAAACCACTCAAAGTTTGAGATCCTTGTCAAAATCATGCCCCTAAATTTTTTGTATCTTTCTTTACAATGTGTATTTTCAGTGCCCAAAGACTTAATTTTGATAGCCTGACAAATTCTGATGGGTTTTGAGATTTTAATCTAACCTCACCTCAACACGGCGTTTCTGCCGTGTCTCACTTGAGACAACAACTCGCTGCTCAAAAACTACCAGAGAGTTCTGTTCTCTTCATCACCCCACAGACCCTCCAAAGACTCAAAGATTCCTCCCAGGCATCCCTACCTCATCTTTGCCTTCCTCCTCAGCTTTGTCATTAGCACAGACTTGAGCCCTGTGGACCCAGTGGAGGTGACAGGGTAGATTATTTTGCTATCAGCAGTTATGTTACTGTCAGCCTTAGGCTGACAAAATGCAGTATTTCTACACCTGTAAAATTCTTGGGTATGCACTTGCAAACCATTACAAATTCACATGGTTTGGAAAAAAATCTATGTATCCCAATACAGGATATACTTTGAAATATTTATGCAGATGTTCAGAAATCCAGTTATTAATTCAAAATCTTGAAATAGTTATGCCTTATTCCCTATTCTGTCATGCCAGGTTTCATCTCCTGCATGGCACATTATTTTGAGCTGGTTTGGTTTTTTCTTGTTGTGGTGTACCACAAATTTTTGAAGTGAACTCAGTTATTCTTTTTTTTCCTGAATGTGTCACTAAATTCACAGTATGTGGAAGTGTGTCTTTCCATTTGTTGTGCTATACAGTTGTGATCTAAATGAGTCTAGCCACTCTACTGGAGTTCAAGAATTACCTAAATGTGATTTCTGAATGAACTCATGAAGTGAATTCCTGAACAGACTTTTTATAGGAAATACGTATTCAGGATCTAGAAATTCTTCATAAGTTTAGAGTTTTTCCTGAATCACACTAAACAAGCTCATTTTGTTGTTAATACCGATCCAATAACCTCTGATAAAGCAGAAGACCTGACAAATTGAAGCTCCTTTGTTCTCACAGTGGACACAGAAAGGGAAGTTAGAAAAACTTGCTCTGAAAGCAAACACCTCAACAGTTTGATGCTTTAGGATTGTGCCAAACAAATCTGCAGACAACGATTTTTTTTTTCCTATCTCTAAAACCCTAAATCTAACCAGTATCCAAAATCACATCTCCAGTTGTGTGCAGCTTTTCCCACGAGCCACAGGGAGGCGGCAGATCCTGCAAGAACTGAGCACACGCTGCGTGAAGACAAAACACAAGTGGAAAAAATCTTTTAAACTCACTTTCCTCACTACTTCTCTGTGTTTTCTGCGTGTCCTGGCACTAAAGAGCTGGAAAAAGAAGAATAAGGCTACTTGGCAGTAACAAGAAGGTTTTGCAGGTGTGACAGATCAGCCCAAGCCAGGCGGGCTGGTGCGATGGCCAGCAGCGTGAACAGCCTGGCAGTGCATTGCCTGAGCAGGTGAGAGTGGAGCAGCAGAGAAACAGCTCCAAACGCTGCCTTGGCGCTCCTCTGATGCAATGATCAGAAGCTGGAACTGCTTTAGGACAGCAGGATTCAACAAATTACCTGAGGGAGGGCTGCTGTGGGCTAAGCACCTGGGCTGGAGCTGAGCCTGAGGCCAGACAGGACACACGACTGCCAGCCCTGCTCTGCTGCAGTGCTACGGGCTCTGAAGAGTTAAACACGTCACACTGGGGCTGTGAAATGATTCCCATTAAACTAACCCATCCTTTGGAGAAATGAAGGAAAGGAAAGCCGTAATGGAGACCTAAATTAATAAAATAAGCCCGGCCATCTGGCACCATCTCCCTCCGGATCTTCCCGCAGCCCTGCCCTCTCTGTACCCCTTGCCTTCCCATCTGACAGTCATTAGGAGCACGAAGCACATCCAGCCAGACCCTCTGTACATGTCCTTGGTGTTATTTTAATTAAAGCAGCAGCAAATTGTGACAGATGATCAAAATTTAAATTCTGATCATTTCCATATGATAAAGGCTTCTCAGTGCAGTAAATAAAGCTCCTTCCTTTTCGGTTTCTTTTCATCATATTCCCTCATTACTACTACACTGTACATGAGACCTTAATTAAAGGACACATATATCTGATTAGATGGCTTCCTATTTAATCCAGTACTGTACCTAAAACAAGGTGCCCATCCTGGATTGCCTTCTCAGCACTTTAATAGCTACAATGTCCCTACTGAAGATTTATTTTATGCAAGATTTTATGCTGTGGTTTTATGCTTGCTTTCCAAAAGGAAAGCTTTTCTAGGATGCCCTTTTACCTTTCCAGGGAAAGGAATAATAGAAATCAGCAGGCAGCTTTCCTCCAATTCATCCAAACACACTGTCCCCACCAGTGCAGTTGAGAAGAGATGACAACAGTTCTGTCCCTGCTGTCAAGGGTTTCACCAAAAGCAGCAATAATCTTATGGCTTAAGAAAAAATTAGTTGATTATGATGTTGTGACTTTGATCTTATTACTGAGTCTATTGTAGAAACAAAACAAAAAAAACCTCACAGGGGATCCTTCAGTGCTTGTTTTATTCAATGGTGATATTTTAACCCAATTCCCAGCCTAGTAACTAAGTTTCAGCTGACTTGTGCTCCCAATCTCTTCCTAGAATGCATATTGCTGATTCTGACCCTAAAACTTTGCCTGGATTTCATATATTATATCGATCACCAACTCCCACCTGCCCACTCTCCTTTAGTCACAGTCCTTTCACTTCCACTTTGAGGATGTAAAAATGTTCTCATTTCACCTGCATTGTACAGTGTTGAGCCAAAAGATATTCACTGGTATGGGAGGAAGCAGGCATGTCCAGTGTTCCTCCCCAGTGGACACACCACCTAAAATATTATGATTAAAATCTGTGTGTGACCCTCCTCTCTGCCCTTCCTCAGTGGCTCATTTTGGTATAAACCCAAAACAAGCTGTTTCTCCCACCTCCAATAGCTGCAGTTTTCCTTCTGCTCCTCTGCCCTCTCCTCAGCTTCCTCTGGGAACCAGCCAAAGGCCTGGTTCCTCCTCACTCCTGCAGGAGTTGGGAATTACTTGTACCACCTTTTTCATGGCAATTTTTCCCTTCCCAGAGAACCTGGTGGCTCATGGTGCTTCAACCTCTCCTCCACTGAGCCTCCTCATCCTGGCTGAGGAAGCAGGGACACGTTTCTGGAATGATACAGATGCTCTTGGCAGGAGCAAAGTCATGGCTGGCCCAAGCTAAGCTGGGTTTGTGTTGTTAAATATTAATTTTGCCCAGCTCTGCAACTCACCATCTGTCCCACAGATCCCAACAATGATCCTTCTTCAGTCCAGGTGACCAGTCACTGTCCTCCCACCCTGCTCCCCATCCCTACCTTCACATGCTTCCCACTGCCTCCCTCTC